CCTTTAAACTAATTGAGAGAAAATTGATATACGTAGTGATATAATAACATTCCTTCACCAAATGATGATAGTGTGAAATTACTAATAAAAGAACTATCTCACGTTGATGAATTAATGACTCACTCAAATGAACTAATGTTCATCTCCACCATTTTTAATAATTCGGATACAATAAAATTATTCTAATAATTAATTGTCTCCATAAGTATGGCAATTATATTTATAAAAATCCAGAAACTTCAAATGATAACTAATTCAGAATCTCTAACCAATTTACATGTAATTAAACTAAATTCATAAACGAACTTGTCAATTTGTACCATCAAATAAATGTACATAAACATGTTGGAATAAAACTAAGAGTAAACAACAACCATCTTTGGATCAAATTAGTTGATTAAATTAAAGTCAGGTGTACAAATAATTCGATGAGCAAATTTAAACAGTAGCAATTCATGCAATCAACAATATGATATGCGTCATCAAATATTGGCATCTAACAATACATGTAATTTTAAGGACTTCATAACATCATAATCGAATTCAGAACAATTATTTCATTGAACTATATAAGAAATTAGAATTACCTTTTTGTAAAACTTAATTCCAACAAAAGAAACCGCTATAATCTACTGATTTCCAAAGTGAGCCACGAACTTGAATCCACGAACAAATATCTTTCTGACTTAAAGTATATTGCTTCTCTTTTTTTTGACTCTTATTTGAAAAGAAAAATATACAATCGAGTTCTAGTTTTGGACAGCCTACATATCCCGGGTTATAAGGGAATCATGTCATATGTAGTTCAAGTAGATGAGACAATGAGTTAGAAGTCGAGTGAGGTTCTATCGAGGCTTCAGTTTGCGGCTCCTATTATTACACCAACATGAGAACAAAGAATTAAAAGAAAATGCAAGTATCAGATTCTAGCTCTGCAGCTTCTCTTGAATCTTGACTTAGGTCTTTATGTTTCTCAAGTTGTGAGATACTGATTTTCCTTTTGAGTGAGTTCGAAGGTAAATGCCTCTCTCTAGGTAGGCTCCTTCTACTTGGACTTGGATATCGACCTTGTTCTTAAGATGAGCTCTAGCCACTTCAATTGAACATGAGCTTGAGAATTGACTCCCTTCAAGATAAGATCCTGAACTTGAAATATGGATTGCCCTTATTCTACAAGTGGATTCCTGAAATTAAAACAAACAAAAGTAATAACACAAATTTTTGCCCCAGTTTATAATAAAGAAAATTTTGTGAGGAAAATAAAAGACGGTGCTTAGCTTTGCTTCGATACTCTGAATAACTCGTGCTTCGTTGTGAGGTACTCTTCAGAGGGCTTATGCATGTAAAAACCAACTTCATTCTTCATGATGAACCAGTTAAATTAAATTATGTTAGTCTAGTCCCTTTATCCAGGAGGATCTTGCTAGTCCCATTATCCAGGAGGGTCCTGCTACGTCCCATTATTCATGAGGGTCCTAGCTATACTACGTCCCATTATTCAGGAGGGTCCTTGCTACACTACGGCCCATCATTCAGGAGGGTCCTTGCTATACTACGTCCCATTATTCAAGAGGGTCCTAGCTATACTACGTCCCATTATTCAGGAGGGTCCTTGCTACACTACGGCCCATCATTCAGGAGGGTCCTTGCTATACTACGTCCCATTATTCAAGAGGGTCCTAGCTATACTACGTCCCATTATTCAGGAGGGTCCTTGCTACACTACGGCCCATCATTCAGGAGGGTCCTTGCTATACTACGTCCCATTATTCAGGAGGGTCCTTGCTACACTACGGCCCATCATTCAGGAGGGTCCTTGCTATACTACGTCCCATTATTCAGGAGGGTCCTTGCTACACTACGTCCCATTATTCAGGAGGGTCCTTGCTACACTACGTCCCATTATTCAGGAGGGTCCTTGCTATACTACGTCCCATTATTCAGGAGGGTCCTTGCTATACTACGTCCCATTATTCATGAGGGTCCTTGCTATACTACGTCCCATTATTCATGAGGGTCCTTGCTATACTACGTCCCATTATTCATGAGGGTCCTTGCTATACTACGTCCCATTATTCATGAGGGTCCTTGCTATACTACGTCCCATTATTCATGAGGGTCCTTGCTATACTACGTCCCATTATTCATGAGGGTCCTTGCTATACTACGTCCCATTATTCATGAGGGTCCTTGCTATACTACGTCCCATTATTCATGAGGGTCCTTGCTATACTACGTCCCATTATTCATGAGGGTCCTTGCTATACTACGTCCCATTATTCATAAGGGTCATAGCTATACTACGACCCATTATTCAGGAGGGTCCTTGCTACACTACGTCCCATTATCCATGAGGGTCATTGCTATACTACGTCCCATTGTTCAGGAGGGTCCTTGCTATACTACGTCCCATTATTCAGGAGGGTCCTTGCTACACTACGTCCCATTATTCAGGAGGGTCCTTGCTACACTACGTCCCATTATTCAGGAGGGTCCTTGCTACACTACGTCTTATTATCCATGAGGGTCAATGCTATACTACGTCCCATTGTTCAGGAGGGTCCTTGCTATACTACGTCCCATTATTCAGGAGGGTCCTTGCTACACTACGTCTTATTATCCATGAGGGTCAATGCTATACTACGTCCCATTGTTCAGGAGGGTC